AAGCAAATGAAAACGCAGAGCTACATAAAAACTCTATACAAAGACTGTATAAGTGGAGGGGACAGAGCTTAGTGGTAGAGTACTTACCTAACATGAAGTAGGCCTGGGTTCAATCTCTAGTACAAGGGGGAAAAAGGGTCATATGAGTAACATATGTACAAGTAAACCAAGAAGACTTTTCTTCATTGGTTTAATTTCTTTAAAAGAAATTGAGCTGGGTGCTGTGGTGCATGCCTGTAATTCAAGTTACTCGGGAGGCTGAAGGAGCAGTGCAAGTTTGAGGCCAGCCTTGGTATTCAATAAGACCCTGTCTCAAAATAAAAAATAAAAAGGTGGGGGATGTGGCTTAGTTGCAGAGCACTAAGTCAGTAGTAATCACCCCCAGATTAAAGAAAAGAGAAAGCAAAAACAAAGTTGAGATTCACAGCAAATGGAGAAGTAAAATTTTAGGACAACAGCATAAGCAGAAGGTTGGAAAAGAGAAAATGCAATTACTATAAAATTCTTATTTTATATGGCAAGTAGTATATTATTTAAAGGTAGATTATGGTAAGATAAAAATGTATGTTGAAAACTAAGCAAACAGAAAGAAAATAAAACAAGGTCAACAGTAGATAGAAAATGAAAAAAAATAAAATGCAAATTGGAAAGAGGGCAGCAAAAGTAGGAAAGGGAGACAAGAAATATACGGGACATGTAGAAAACAAATAGCAAGATGACAAGACATCATTATATAAAGTAAAATTTAAATTGTCTAAGAATCAGAATGGAAAAATATAGGAGGCAATTATTGATTATCTAAAAGAAATCCAACTTAAATATAAAGACCCAGACTGGCAAATGTAAAAGTACACAAAATGTTACTTCATCTAGATAATAAACTTTAGAAAGAGTACACTATTACTATCAAGGTAGATTCTTCTTTCCACTCTGAGACCATGAAAAAGGGACCTCCTAAGGGTAAAGGACAGTGAGGAAAATCTCATTCTTTTCTGTTTTCTCTTGCCCCAGTCGGAAGCAAAAACAACATAGGTAACGGAAACAGTAGCAGAGGCTGGGCAGACACCTGAAACTCTGAAGAAGGGGAAATCTGATCAAAGGTGTTGAGGTAGCTAGCATACACCTGTAATCCCAGCAACCTGGGAGGCTGAGGCAAGAGGATCACCAAGTTCAAAGCCAACCTCAGAACTTAGTGAGACCCTGTCTCAAAATTAAAACATAAAAAGGGCTAGGGATGTGGCTCAGTGGTTAAGTGCCTCTTGGTTCAATGTTCAATCCCCGTACCAAAATAAAACGGTACTGTGGTTTCATGAGCTTAAGGTAAATCCTCTTACTTTTTTTCTGCTTTTACTTTCAACTGCCTGGAATTAGACAGACACAAATGCAGAAATGAATGACAGAGGTCAGTCATAGAAACTTAGAGAGACCCTGTCTCAAAATAAAAAATGGAAAAGAAAGGGGATATAGGTCAGTGGTAAAGCACTCCTAGGTTCAATCCCCAGAAAAGACAAGAAAAAGAAAAGCAAGAAGAAAAATGAAAAGGGAAGCCACAGACCAAGAGAAAATACTTACAAATAATATACCTGATAAAGAACATGTGTCCAGAATATATAAAGAAGGTGTAACTAAATAAAAAGGCAAACACGCTTGTTTAAAAATGAACAGGAGATTCTAAAGAAATTTCACTAAAATAGTTACTCAAATCAAATGAACACATGAAAGGATATTCAATTTCATTAACTTTTAGGCAAATAAAAATTAAAGTCACAATGATATATTTCTATGCACCTACTAGAATGACTAAAATTAAACAAATGAGCATACCAAATATGGGAAGGATACAAAAAAAACCCTGAACTCTCAGACTGTTGGTAGTAAAAGTAAAATCACTTTGGAAAAGTTTGGTAGCTTCTTAAAAATCAAACATACAGGGGCTGGGGTCGTGGCTTAGTTGCAGAGCACTTGCTTTGCTCTGGGTTCGATCCTCAGCACCATATAAAAATAAATAATCAAACAACAACAAAAAAAAAAAAACTTCACATACCATAAGCCATGCCAATCCTGGGTTTTTCTTTCTTTTTAAAAAAAAAAAAAAAAAAAGAAAGAAAGAGAGAGAGAAAATTTTTTAATGTTTATTTTTTAGTTTTCGGGCAGACACAACATCTTTGTATGCGGTGCTAACGATCAAACCAGGGCCCCACGCATGCATGCCAGGCAAGCGTGCTACATAGCTTGAGCCACATCTCCAGCCCCCTGGGTTTTTATTTCTAACAAACATAAAAGACTATAAACAAGTGTTCATGGCAGCTTCATTTATAATCCCAAAACTGAAAACACCACAAACATCCATCCATCAACTGATGAATGGATAAACTGTGGTATATCCATATCAAGGAATACCACCTGGCAATTAAACAAAATGAAGTACATTCATAAACTCTGAAACCTGGATGACTCTCAAACATATTACACTAATTGAAAGAGACACTAAAAACAAAATACAAAAAAAACCAAAAACCCTACAAATTATAAGATTCTATTCACATGGAAAAAAAAAGGCAATTTTTAAGAAATAGAAAGCATATTAGTAGATGCCCAGAGCTGGGGGCGAAAGTGTGGATTAACTGCAAACAGACCCAAAGTAACCCTCTAGGATAATGTAAATGTTCTAAAAAAGTACTGAATTGTTTCACAATTCTATAAACAGATTTACATTACTGAACTGTATCTTACATGAGAGACCTACATGGTATGTAAACTATACCTTTAAAAAAGCTTTTTTAAAAATGAAGCATATGAAGAAAATAGACAAACCAAAAATTGGGAAATAGTTAATACATAAAAGCAAGAACAGACTAGTTTCCCAAATATGTAAAGACTACCTACAAAGTCAATTTATAAATGTTAAATATCCCAAGTGGAAAATGAACAAAAGAAATGAACCAGAATTTTATAGAGTAGGAAACCACCCATAAACATGTAAAAGCAACTTCCTCACTTTAATAATCAGGGAAATGTTAATATCACAATAAGATTTTATTTCAGTTACCATAGAGGCAAAAATGCTTTCAACCCAGTTACTTCTAAGAATCGATCCTACAAATCTGTTTGTGCAAGGCCACAAATACATATGTACAAAGACAGTACTGGAGAGTAATATATGAATATATAGACTGAAACAGCAGCTCAGGAGGCTGAGGCAGGAAGATCATGAGTTCAAAGACAGTATCAGCAATTTAATGAGGTCATAAGCAACTCAGTGAGACCGAGTATCTACATAAAACACACACAAAGGGCTGGGAATGTGGCTCAAGCGGTAGCGCGCTCGCCTGGCATGCGTGCGGCCCGGTTGGATCCTCAGCACCACATACCAACAAAGATGTTGTGTCCGCCAAGAACTAAAAAATAAATATTGAAAATTCTCTCTCTCTCCTCTCTCACTCTCTCTTTAAAAAAAAAAAAAAACACAAAAAAAAAGGGGGTTGGGGAAATGGCTCAACATCCAACTAGGCAACTGTCTATAGTAGTTCTCCTCATTTGAAATATTTTCCTGGAAAGTTGTTTAAAATTTTAAAAAATAAAAGTCAACTGTGAACGCAATCATAATTCTCAAGAAAAAATAATCCCAAAATGCAACCACACTTGAATACACTGATATTTATTGTAGAAATGGTAGTATTCCTTAAAATACACATATCTACATATCTAATTCACCTTAAAAAGCAATGCAAGAAGAGCCAATTATCTAAATACCTAATAGTAGTCTAAGCATAAAAACTCAGGTTTAATTCCTATTTCATAGAGAAATCTTAATAGCTCCATATGATAACCAATAAAGCTATGGCTAAGAAGACATAAAAGCCTAAACAACAGTCAACTTTTTAGAGCAACCCAGGTAATTTGATAGAATCTATAATATCAGATTGAATGTTCTAAACGTATTTTTTTTATGCTGGGAATTGAGTCCAGAGCCTTACAAATGCTAGGCAAGCACTGAGCTGTATCTCCAATCCTTTTTAATTTTACTTTGACATAGTCTCATCAAGTTGTCCAGGCTGTTCTACAACTTGCAATCCTCCTGCATTATTCCTCTAGAGTAGTCGGGATTATAGGTGTGTACTACCTCTCTGGGCTCGACTCCTAAGTTCTATAAAATATTCCTGTCATATATGATTTAGGAAAAATATTAATTTGGACCTGAAGTTAGAAATGAAAATAAAATAAATGACTAATCTGGTCAGATTAAATTATCATGAAAATAAAATAAAATAATATGTATGAAAACAATATATAAATCTAAGACATTAGTTTATCATGTCGTATGACATCCTAAAACAAAGATAAAGAACTCAAGTTGGCAGAAAAAAGCTTTAGCAAATAAAAAAAGGGTTGGAAGGATTGCTCATCATATACTATTTGAGATAATTTTGCTAGACTACAGAATTTGCTATAAACCTGCCCTATGAACCCTTAAAATCTAGCAATAGAATCCAAAAATCTTACCACATCCAACATACCAGTAGTATGAAGTCAATAATCCTACTTAGGCTTATAAATTTAAGTAGAAAAATGAATAAAAATAGAAAGATTGAGTAGGTAATAAGTTTCAGCAGAATTTAACAGATTGATTTAATTTAAAGAGCCAAATTACAGTGAGTTCAAAAAATACACAATGCATTCCTAAATACATGTATGAAGACACAAATGGTATGACTCTACTTTGTGTACAACCAGAGGTATAAAAAATTGTGCTCTATATGTGTAATATGAATTGAAATGCATTCTGCTGTCATATATAACAAATTAAAATTAAAAAATTAAAAACCCATATATATATATTTCTGGTAATAATACATATTAGATATTTAGTAATATATTCATCTAATACGTTACTTAATTCGCAAATAACCAAACAGTAAGTGAAAAGGTGAAAGAATTATATGCAAATAAGTTCCTGTATTTTTGTAAAAAAAAAGAAAAGTATTAGTTAATTTGGCTACCTTCGGTCCTGAAACTGGGTGGATGGTATTTTTGGCAGATAACAGATGAGGAAAAGTATTCTGGAATGCAAATGCAGAGGAGACAGGATAAGGAATCCCACAGCTTGGGTAAGTCAGCCTACTATCAACCTAAAAATAAAAACAAGAAAATGATTAAGGATAACAAATAATTCCAAATAGTTTCTCTTATCCAGGAGGCATTATTGTCTGCTAATTATAGTTAAGAGTGCTGTCTTGGGCTGGGGTTGTAGCTCAGTTGGTAGAGCGTTTGCCTTACATGTGTGAGGCACTGGGTTCAATCCTTAGCATCACATAAAAACAAATAAATAAAATAAAGGTATGTCGGTCTACAACTAAAAAAATATTAAAAAAAAAAAAGAGTGCTATCTCTGAGGCCAATTTTATCATGACACCATAAAACTCTGCTTCAAACTAAATTAAAACAAAAATCCTACTGGCCAGGCACAGTTGCACATGCCTATAAATCACAGCAACTGGAGAGACTAAGTTAGGAGGATTGCACGTTTGGGGCCAGCCTCAGCAACTTAGTGAGACCCTCAGCAACTTAATGGACCATCTGGGGATATAGCCCAGTGGTAAAGCGTCCCTGAGTTAAATCCCCAGTATCCCCATCATTAAATCCCCACCCCCATCATTCCCCCACAAAAAATAAACCACTGAACTGAACTATCTTGGATCACTCCAGGTTTCCTGACATGGAAGGTATTAGGAAGGACAGTGAGTCATAAATAAATAGCCCAATCAGGGATAAAATAATAATTTGCTTCCAAACTGAGTAAAAACAAGATTAATATTCTTAAATAGGGTAACTGAGGCAATTATTTACTTTCCACTAATCTTCTATATGGTAGCATCACCATTAAACAACAGACATGAGAAAAAAAGCTAATTTTTTAAAAGGTCACTTGAAACACAAATCTTGAGAAGCAACTCTGTAGCTCTGTGGGAGAGCATTAGCTTAGCATGCTTGAGGCCCTGGGTTCAATTCCATGCAACACACAATAAAAATAATAATCAAAAAGCAACTGTGGGGCTGGGAATGTGGCTCAGGCGGTAGCGCGCTCGTCTTGCATGTGTGCGGCCCAGGTTCGATCCTCAGCACCACATACCAACAAAAATGTTGTGTCCGCCGAGAACTAAGAAATAAATATTTTTAAAAATTCTCTCTCTCTCTCTCTCTCCTCTCTCTCCTCTCTCACTCTCTCTTTAAAAAAAAAAAAAAAAAAAGCAACTGTGTACACCAGTGTCTATACAACATAAACATCCTTCTCACAGTTATTTATCTTCAGTCATTCAGGTTAAGCCTATAAATTTTTTTCAAGTTTGTAATTCAGGTCCAGGTACTTCCTTATGCGCCATTTCCCAATTTAACAGCAATCCTTTTTCTGTTTTAGACGCTAAGTACAATTTATCAGAGTGGATTAAAAATTCAAATAGGTGCCAGGAACAGTGGTACCCGCTTGTAATCCCAGCAGCTTGGGAGGCTGAGTCACAAGGATTGGGAAAAAGCCAGCCTCAGCAAAAGCGAGACACTAAACAACCCTGTCCCTAAATAAAATACAAAAACAGGGCTGCGGTTGTGGCTCAGTGGTACCAAAAAAATAATAATAATAAATAAAATTCAAATGCTTATTTGAATTTTATGTTTTATGTTTTCTGCCAATGCCCTCCAGTCAGAGAGCATAAGAAAAACACCCAAAGGTATAAAAACTATATTTATTAACTCCTTGAAATGAAGGAAACTGCAGACCTTTAGGAACCCTGGGGAGTTTCAGTAACAGTGTGCTAAAAAGGATTTATTTATTGGATCCAGGCACATCGGGCAATTTAAGTGAAAGTTTAGGAAAGTGGAAATTTGCTATGGATTCAATGCTATTAGGAAGTAAGGAAAAATGTATGACTGGATACCTAAATAAATCCCACCTAATAAAGGAGGGGGAATGCATGAAGGCTAAAGCTATAACTGGTTCAAAAAGTAACAGTCATCCATGTTAGTCAGGATTCAACGATGCTTGACCATCTTTGTGGTTTAGCAATGTAGATATTTTAATCTATGTGGACATGATTTACAAAGTATTCTCATTTTGTCTTGATTCATCATGTGTATAGAGTGACCTTGTCTGATGTTGATATTCTGTGAAATTGTGTTCAACAGGAGAGCCTAAGGCTTACTTATGAGTATTAGGCAAGTTTCTGGTAGCACCAAGACCTAGCTACATGATAATACTGAGACACCTTTTGCATATAAAGAGCTGCTTTTCTTATTCTCCCCTCTTATTCCTTGCCCAGAAAAAGCAAATGACCCAATTCTGGAAATTAGAAAGCTTATATCTCAAGAGTTTATTCTAGCCTCTAGAGCTGATAAGCCTAACAGAACCTTCTTTTCTCATCCCTGCCCCCACTTTTTTCTTTTGCAGCTAGAATTCAGTTGAGTTTTTTTTTCATTATAGTTGCACACTTGAACCCAAACCCTGAATTTTTTTCTTCTTAAAGTCATCTAAATGTTTTGAGGGTGTGTCCATGTATACACGTTTTAAAGTTTTTAGCATATCTGGCATTACTTTGGTACGTTCAAAAATGATTGCTATACCCAGTGAAATCTTACAAAGAAGTGTGCCCTTGAAATACAGCCTCTTTGTTAAGAGCAAGTTTGCCTATGTCCCACTTCCAAGGGCAGCTTATACTGTTCTTCAAGTAGGACTTCAGACTGTGTTAGTGCCAGCATCTTAAGTCAGAGATTTCTAACAAACTGGGAATACTTCTGTTCAGGAAAGTCACTAATACCTTACCACATTCAGGTTAGGAGAAATTCCACTTCTGATTGTGTTGTTGCTAGAATGTGCAGGAGGAGTGGTAGAAGGTCCCAACACATCTTGCTTTCTCACTAGCTGATTTTCATTTAGTTCTTTATTTAACCATGTGATTACTTAGAAAACAAAAAGGTAAAAAAAACTTGACAGTTTTTAGTTTTCTAATCATTTTAAATGTTTAAATACCTTAAGCTTTTTAAGTTTTTACAACTGACATCACAGCTGAACAACATTGGTTCATCTAAACTTTTACAATCAGATTCTTATTTTATTCTCTTACTCTAAGAAGCACATATTTCTGCTCCTCTATCTTAAGAGGTTTTGCTTCTAAAATGGTATCTTACAGTTTTATTAAAGTTCACAATTTTATGTATGATACCCAGTTCTACCAACTGAGAAAATGCTAATGAAAAAAAAATCTTATAATTCAAATAATTCATGTTACCACTATTAGGTTAACAGCAATATTAAAAAAAAAAAAAAGAGTAGTGAGGAATCTAAACAGTAAATTACAGGCAATATTTTCAACACCATTAGTTTTGGGTCACTGACACATAATACAGTTTTTGTTTTAACAATAATTTTTCTATAGGCACCAGATAATATAATTTACTACAGCAAAGACATTAAGCTTTATTTAAAGGAGAAATTTTCATATAAAGCACAATCTGAATTTACCTATATTTTAATAAATTCAAATAAAATTTCCAGCTTAAGAATAAAAAACTCATTTACATAAAAATATAATATACTTACACTTTTCATTATTTTTTAGAAGTTGTTTGCTTTCCTCAAGTTTTTGAACTGTAGCTTCTAACTGTTCTTGTAATTTGCATACCTGAAACGTCAATCCTCATAGTAAGTCAAACAAAATAAAGGTTAAAAGTTGAAGAAACTATTACTAAACTAAGTGATTAATACTAATACTATTAAATGAGAATAAAGGAATTAGCTCAACTATGTGATCAAATATTTAGGTGTATGTGTGTATATACATAAACTCACACACATAATGACAACTACCCATATATTCTGATCATAAATGAACAATTAAGATATCTGAGTTATAACTAACTTTTCAAACTGAAATAGGTTATTAACATCTGTTGAATGTAGATGTGTTTTTATGTCTAAGAAGAATAAATGAAATAAGGCCAAAGCCCATTCTCTACTATAAAAAAACAGAAATTTTAAAAATAGTATCTGAAGAAGTTTACTATACTTTGTAAACAAAATAGTAACAAAAAAATATTAATTACCTCTTGCTCCTTAACTCGAAGAGACTGTCCAACATCTTGTAGTTCCTTTTGTTCCTTTTGTAATTTTTCCTCCTTCTCAGCCAAGAGTTTTTCTTGCTGAACAGTAACTGTATTCTTCAGTTTCAATTTGCCCATTAGGGTTTTCAAATCTCCTTGTAACTTCTTAATAATTTCATTTGCCTGTAAAAGAGCTTCATATGTAAATCTCTACAATCCAATAAACTATCAACATTCTATTAATTTTTAAAACAAACCTTCAGAAGTTCTGCTGATAATGATTTTATCGTAGTTTCAAGTTTTCCCAGTTGTACCTGATTCTTCTCACCACTTTCTTCTAAAGCCACCTGATTTTTTTTTTAAAGACATGAATAATTAGGGCATTTATGTTTGTTGATAAAGCATCACTCTAAATGTGGTCATCAATTTTTTAGAAAAAATTTAAAGACCTTTTGTTCCTGGATTGTATCAAATGCTTCTTTTGTTCTTAAAACAAGTTGGTCTTTATCCTTGATTTCTTGTTCTAAAACTGCCACTTTTGTTTGTAGCTGATTAATATGCTTTTCTTTCTCATGGCATTCAGCATCTAACGTAGAATTCTCTCTTTGCAAAGAGAGGACTTCTTGCTTAGTTCGTTGCAGCTCCTAAGGGTAGAAAAACAGAAATTACACATTATGACAAAAAGGAAACTAGCTAGTCTGGTAATAATTATGTTTTAAACATAATTAAGATATTGAAAATATCAAAAATGTACTTAATAATTTTAAAATTGTAATAGATATTTTCTTTAAAAGACATAAAAATCTCCAATGGTATGTATGAATTATAGACTTGCTATATGATTATAATAAAATACATGAGTAATTCTATAATATCAAAGTAAAAAAAAATCCCAATTTATAAATAAATTACTACAACTTTTAAAAACATTTAACAAGAGTATTGTGATATCTTCCCAACTTGTTTCAAAAGTAGCCACGGGTGACAGCTATGAGTTAGTATTTTTCTCTGTTGCTTATGGTGCTTTTTTCCCCACCTCCTCAAAAAAAAAAAAAAAAGCTCATACTGCTCAGTAGTTTTTCTGGTGCCAGGGATTGAACCCAGGGCTTCATGGATGTAAGGCAAGCACTCTACTATCCAGTCATATCCCCTACTCAATTTTATGATCTACCTTCTCCCCATATTACAAATATCTTTTCACCTCAATAAATGTTTCTGGACTTTCTGTTTGTTCACACTCTAAAACAAAAATAGGCAAATGATAATCATTAGAAATAGATTTTTAAAAAATCTACAGACCACTTCTCAATCAGCTAATATCAACCCGATTGTAGCTAGTACACAAAAATCTACTATGTAGTATTCTTAGTTACAGTTTCTAACAAAAATTTTAAAGACTTTTTGTGTGTGTGTGTGTGATACTGTGGATGGAGCACAGGTCTTTGCACATGCCAGGCAAGCACTCTACCTTGGCCACACCCCTAGTCCTAAAAGATAATTTTATAGTATTATACTATGATGGTTTTAGGAGCACAAAATTTGACATCAGATCAATTTGAACTCAAACTGGGGCTTACCTATAATGTGATCTTGGGAATAACTTAACCACCCTAAGTCTCCATTCTCTCATTTATAAAACAGAAATCATAAACAAATGCTTCGTAAATTATTTCATTTAATCTTCACAAGAATCCTTATATAAATTGCCTAACATTGACTGGCACAAAGTAGATACTCAGATAGTAGTAATTATTAGTTAAGAGTATTAATATCTAAAAATGTAGTTTTAAATAATTAGGTAACTGAATACTCAGAGATTAAAAAAAAAAGTTCCCAAGCCTCATAATTTGTAAGCATTTTGCAAATCTTGGAAGAAATACTTTGGTTTGGATCATATTAAAAAAAAACAACATAATGAAGACTATTAATATACTATCCAATTTCAGGTCTGAGATAGAAAAAATTATATAGCATTATAATGAAGCAATTAGACTCCCAGTGCACCGTGCATGAAGTATGAAATGTTTTACTAACTATCATAAAAGGTCAAAGGGTGTAGGTGAAAATAACTGGACATCTATTGTCAAGGCAGAACTCTTGAGGATCTGAACATAAAATCAGTAAATCTTTAGAGCTTCTTGGCATAACTGACTACTGAAATTAAGTCTGGTTCTCTTTGCTTTTAAATACAATAAACTAAAGATATCTACAAGCCAGGGGCTGGAGATATAGCTCAGTTGGTAGAGTGCTTGCCTTGCATGCACAAGGCCCTGGGTTCAATCCCCAGCACCATATTAAAAAGAAAGAAAAAAAAAAGAAATAAGAGGTATCAAAAATATCTACAAGCCAAGCACAGTGGTGTATACCTCAAGCCCTAGCTATTTGGGAAGCTGAGGCCAAAGGATCATTTGAGATAAGGCGCTGAAGACCAGCCTCGGCAACATAGTGAGAACCTATCTCAAAAAAAAAAAAAAAAACAACTACATATACTTTCTGATAACTCATGTGATAATAATGTATAATAATGCTAGGTAAGAAACTATCATCTGTTCCAAAACATCAACAAATATGCTATGACAACCAGGATTTTAAAACTTCTCTGAGGGGCTGGGAATGTAGCTCAGTGATAAGAGTCTTTGCCTCGCATGTCTGATGCCCTGAGTTCAATCTGTAGCATGCAAAAAAAAAAAAAAAAAAAAAATTGGTGTTTGAAAGAACAAAGTAGTACCAAAGATAGGCAAATAATACATGGATTTCAATGCTCATTCTTCCTTAGGTAAGTTATTTAACCCCTCTGTAACTTATAAAACAGGGAAAATAACAGCCCCAAAAGAATTTTAAGAATTGAGTGAAGGTACACAAAGCACTCAAGTAGTAACCATCACATATTAAATACTTGGTAAACATTAACTATTATTACCTTTACCATTATCACTACTATTATGGAACACTAAGCCTCATATAATTGTCTGATATATTATGTAGGCTGAAGGAAAGAATTAGCCCTGGCACACTGAATACCCCATGAGATAAAGACACTACTATTAAAAATATACTGAAAAATTGGGGCAGGGGCTGTGGCTCAGTGGTAGAGCACTTGCCTAGCATATATGAGGCACTGGGTTCGATCCCTGGCACCACATAAAAATAAAAACAAATAAAATAAAGGTATTTTGTCCATCAACAACTAAAAAAATCTTTTTTAAAAAATATATACTGAGGGCTGGGGATGTGGCTCAAGCGGTAGCGCGCTTGCCTGGCATGCGTGCGGCCCGGGTTCGATCCTCAGCACCACATACCAACAAAGATGTTG